TATTTTTTGCGTTAAAGCAGCGAAATTGATATTCAAAAAAGATTTCATTGCTGTTAAAGTTTCCTGGTGCCACGACAAAGTGTTCGAAATATTTGTTTGTTTTCATTTTACTAAATTTGCAGTCAGCAAATTGTCGCCCCCAAAACCATCGTTGATTTAGTTGAAACTTGGGACGCTTGTTTTACGTTCTCATGCTTGAAATGTTCCCTGAAAGTGACTAGCTATGTTCAGACATCCCATCGTAGAGTGAAGTGGTTATATTGATGGGTTTTACGACATATGTTCAACTGGATTATTTTTAAACCTGCAATGTACCTGTATGCCGGAAACATCATTCTGGGTGTGATCATGAGTTTCCTATCAGTGTTTTTGTTATCCATAGTTCATCAAATGAATGCCACTTTCCCTGGAGAATGTAAATAATATGCTAACATAGCAAAAGACTGAGCAAAATTTGCAGCAAGTGCAAAGATAGAGAACGCTTAACAAATTCCAAGAAAATAGTTTAAAAGAGTATAAGACCGTCCATCTTACAATAAACAGTTTTATGGAAAGAAAGAGAGTATCAGGAGGAAAAAAAAGAAAGAGGAGGTTGGTTGCTCTTCCCTAGATGCAACTAATTTTGAAGAGGAAAACGAAACTGAACATTCCAAAAGAATTGAATTTCCTCGCTTTCATATTCATGAGAGTCAACGTTCAGCTACAGGAACTTATCCCGGCTACTCACGAGTATCATTTTCCGATGCTGACAATCACTTGTGATATGCGCTTCTACTTCAAAGTTTTCTAATACGTTAATTCCTGCAAATATGAAAGCATCCAGCATTCAAGTGTGTCTTGAATACTTTACTTCAAGACAGCAAGGATGCAATATATTTTATGCCTAAAACTAGAAATGCAGGCATGCAGCAATCCATATTTTCCAAACATTAATTTAACATGAAGTATTAGTAATTAATCAACACTGAGCGGCAACACGATAATTTTAATTTTTATTATACTTTTGTACAACACGGCAAAAATAGTCGAAAGAATATTGCTTTTAATTTAATTAATTATATAACAAAGAAATTCCGAAATATGTACTGCATGTAGGTATGTTGTTCTGGATTTTGTGAGCTTTGATTTAATGTAAAGTTAAACCTGAATCGTTTCGTAAAATGTTTTGAAATGTTCATTTTAATAACTAAACTGCTTTTGGCGATAGACTGTTTTTACTTCACATTGTTAGTAACTGAAATTACTCAACAATGTGAACTTAGGTCTTCAAAATTAATTTGCTCTCCTTTATATTTTCCTTTTCTTCTTAATAAATTAAACAGGGTAATTTAGGATACTTACAGCTTCATTGAAAAAAAACAAACAGCAGTGCATATTTTACGCAATAAATTATTAAAGCCACAAAATTTATAAACATTAATCATTATTTATTAATGAACATTCAAAGCAAACTTGCGCTATATTTCACGATTTTTCATAGTAAATCAATTCTTCACATTTTTTCAAACAAAGATTCCTTCAAAGCTCATTGTGTGAAACGTCATTTTCCAAATACGCATATGCTTTTCAAAATTGAAATCTTGCTTTAATATCCTCAGTGTGCTTATCCCATTGCTGGCAAACAGCCATATTTTTGAGATCAGTGAGGAGGTCCACCCTTGGATCATAGCCATGTGCCCACGTTATTTGATGAACTTTAGACTTCGCTATTGCGTTCCTTTCGACGGGTGTAAATAGCCGGGCGGAATTTGCACCCTAGCCCGGGGCCAACGCCCGGAACGGCGCTACGCGCCGTTGGCTTGGGGACAAGAAGAATTTTGGTCATGTGCACGATGGAACAATCCATATCCCACATCGAAAACGTAACGAATCTGGAAAGATATATGTATAGATCCGTATTTGAATCCGCAGGAAAATTTTATCGGTTTCATGCGAGGACCTCACTCGGTAGTTGAATTATTAAGGTTACAGAACACCTTTGAGTGTTAATTTTGTCTAAATTTTTTTTATTGGTTTCACTGAAAGCATTAGACTGGTTCTACTATCTGACCAAGTTTGAACGAAAAATGTTGAAAACTCGCGGAGTACGTTATTTAATAAAATACATTTCGCTGTAATAAGAAAAACATGAAAATGTAATATTCAAATTCAATTTTCTCCCGAAGAATTTTACGGCAATTACTGATTTTCAAACGAGTTGTTCTCCTGCGGGTTTTAACGAATTGTTCTCAAATTTTCACAGGACATAGCTACAGACGTCAGTTTCAAAATGTTGTTCGGCTTTTTTCTAATTTTGGATATTTTAATAATAACAAGCAACTCACTCGAACGATTCAGAAATATATTGCAGTCGTCAAAGAAATTGCCATATCAGCGGAATGACGAAATAAACAAAAATTTCCGAACACAATTTTTTAGAACAACTATTTTACTGCATAAAAATTATATTTTCATAAATATATCTTAAAACCAGCACGAACGTAACTAAAAAGCGTATAGGTACCGCGATTTAAGATTTTCCTGAATAATTCTTATATTATTCAATTGTTTGTCAATTTTACAACTTTACCATATTTTGCATGCACTGGAGAACATTTGGTGAAAATTTGATGAAAATCGAACTGATATTGAGCGCGCAGTAGCGATTTTCTGCAAAACGCCAAAAAGGGTGTCCTGTAACCTTAAGACAATTTGAAGAGCTCACGACATTATAGCCGGCCGATGACTAATTTCTAATAAAGATGCTGAAACTTCGACACGTGAGTGGCTAAAATCGACTCGAGAAAGGACTTATTCCATGTAGTTACACATTTTTATGTTTTTGTTTGGATTGACTGAATTTGATCGAAACAACAAATTACAACTGAGAAACATATTTTGACGCACATGCAGTATACCGCTTAGAAATAAATTTAAAAAATGCAATGTAGTAAGCAAATAACGTATTCCGAAATACACTAATATTACAAACTATAATCAGTGATAACCGAACAATAGCGTTCGTATTTTGTCTATATTCATTCCGAGGTTTAAGGCATTTGAGATGAGATCCAGTGGCGTCATGGACTAACTGGAATGAGTACCGGTGATCTCGTAATTATAAATCGGCAAAAGTAACAGAAAGAACGCAGAACAACACAAAAAAAACGTTAATATAAATCTTTAATTGCAAAATTTATTTCACTTGCACATTTTCCTGCACATGAGAATGCATTTTAAATGATAACAAAATTATCTTTTAAATATGAATACACAATATTTCCAATATTTCAAAGCAAGGAAATATAATATTAGGCTACACAGTCCACATCCTTCACGGATATATTACCACTAAGCTGTTAGAATTACAGAACTCGGCAGATTAATTGACATGTAGTTTACAAAGCAAGCAAAGTCTGAAATGCAAAACCATTAAACATTAAACCAAGACCTGTGGCCGTCTTTAGCAACAAAGCCAGTGTCCTTGTCCAACTTAAAGAGGTTCCCTACAGTTTCCAATATAGTATATATATATATATATGTATATATATATATATATATATATATATATATATATATATATATATATATATATATATATATATATATATATATATATATATATATATATATATATATATATATATATATATATATATATCATGGTATTTTTTGTCAAGTGTTTGTTTCACTTACGACATATCACTGTTTAACTCAATTACCTCGTATTCCTTCCACTCGCGAGTTACTAAACTACTGTCACATATAGTTTAGTAACTCGCGAGTGGAAGGAATACGAGGTAATTGAGTTAAACAGTGATATGTCGTAAGTGAAACAAACACTTGACAAAAAATACCATGATATATAGCTCATAGTGCATTATGCAGAAAGTACTTGCCGTGCTATTCGAGCACTCTATGCCATTTTATTATAGTTGAAAACGGTTTGCACCAGTTACTCGCATCCGGTCAATCCCCACAAGATGGGTTCATCCCGGGCAAGCTTTGTAACAGATTCTATAACCTGAAGGAAACAGGACAAATGCGGCACATCAGTGGCCTAGAGAATATATAGCTCTAAATTAAAATGTTCGTGCATGATTAGACGAGTATATGGACGCAACCGCACTGTAAATTTCAAGGAGTTGGATCAACGCTAAAAGTGTTGAATCAACTCCAAAAACGGCGACAAAATCACTCTTGAAAATCACTCACTGAAAATTATCAAAACGAGACTCTTTGACCTTTTAACAGTATATATTTTAACACTTTGAAATTCGTATGTCATGTATACACATTTAAAACTTGCATTACAACTACAAGCACGTTCTATCGTTATATATATATATATATATATATATATATATATATATATATATATATATATATATATATATATATATATATATATATATATATATATATATATTGGTCAAAATTTTTGTGGCTCTGATATATGAATAGGAAGTCTGTCTTTTTCTCATGTGCTCTGTGTGTATATCCAATCTATAATGACTTTCATGTGTGCTGTATACATGTACTCGTACTGTGACCTCAGTTATTACGTACAGTATAGTCAAATGTTTGACACTTTGTTTAATTATTATTTTGTGTGTATTGTTGTTGTAACTTTTTATTGTAAATATTGTTTCCTCTTATTGTTTCCTCTTATAAAAAAAAGTAATTTTAATCCATAATCGCTACTCTTCATGTTACTATGACAACATGACGACACCATCTATATGGCCTAATCAACCATAAAAGCCGTCTTAGCGGACAAATAACCAGGATGACCTACCTTTCTTATTGCAGAAAATACATTGTTATGAAGTTTGGAATCTTTTTTGAAAGTTATTTGAAAATTGCCTATGTAGTTTTCGAGAAACTGAATTTCAGCCTTTCCAAAGGCTAAAATGCAATCTTAAAGACTGAAATTCAGTTTTTCGAAAACTACACTGACGATTTTCAAATAACTGTAAAACAAAATTCAAAACTTTAAAACAATGCATTTTCTGCAATAAAAAAGGTAGGTCACCGTGGTTATTTGTCCGCTAAGAAGTTTGGTTGATATAGGCCTTATAGATGGTGACGTCATGTTGTCATGGTAACGTAAAGAGTAGCAATTGTGATTTAAAATTACTCTTTTATATGAGAGGAAACAACGTCTTGTGCTTTAGATTCAAATAGCTCTTAGATTAATTAAAACACTGACATATATTGGAAACTGTAGGGAGCCTCCTTAAACCTCACAGGAAACGTGCCATACAGTAGTCTATATCTATAGTTAGTGTTCCTAGATTATGGAATTTCAACCGACAGGTATTTTCAGAGTTCTTCACCTCACTTGGACAATCTACTGCATGGCAACTATTTGTAGAATTCTTAACGCAACGTCTTAATTATGACATTGTTTGTCTACCTTGCTCATCAGGGGAGATCGCCCTCAATACTTCCATAGCTGCTTGTGGGATTCTTGTACCTTAAAGCATAATTAAAATAAATTATTAATAAACTCGGCAGCCATTAAAAAACACATAGATAAACCAACAGGACATTCTAACAGTAATTTGTTCAATGTATAACTACTACTGGGACATTGGAGTACACGGAAGAAAGTTTCTGGTGTTTTGGAGAGTACTGTATATATAATTGTAGAAACAACTCTGGAGATTTCAAGTGCATATGAACGAACATTACCTCTCAACACATTTAATTGTTTAATTGGGTAGAATAATATATGCATCTGTTTAGTTAATGGTAAAGGTAACGGTAGTGTCTGTTACACCCACAGTCCGAAAACTATTTCTTGAGATATTTTACGAGAGTTGGAGACTGAATAAGGCCTGTGATGTCAATGTTTGTGATTGCAATTTGCAGTGTTGACTGTGTTGGAGGCGAAAGGTGTCAATCAAACCACTGTTCGATTTACACAGCTTTTGAACAAATAATTCAAAAGATCAAATTAACGTGAAAACATACCTGGTCCGAAAATAGCAGCAACGCCTTTCTCAAAGAGAAAATCATAATCTTGCGGCGGAATTACTCCACCACAAACCACGAGTATGTTGCTGTAAATAATTAATGTCAGGTTTTAAGAGAAATAAGTGGCGTCCTAATTTCTCGATATACATTAAATTAAGCACCATGCTTAATTGGAAGTTAGTATAGCTAATAGCATGGTTTCGAGTGCAATTTGGATATAACATGCACGAGTGAGTTATTCAAAGACCTCAAAATAGCACGAGTCCGAAGGACGAGTGCTATATTTGAGGTCTTTGAAAAACTCACCAGTGCATGTTTATCCAAATTTCACGATAATAATTTACATAAAAATGTTCGAGACAATTGTAGTTTTAACTTACGCGTTTATAGCGAACATTCCACTGGCAAAGTTTTCCTGGCTTTGTTATATCACATTACACAACGCTAACAGCTTGAAAATTCCACTCAACTATGTAATTTTTGTTAGTCTTGTTTAAGGTAAATGCTTTTCCATTTAAAAATAAAGATAAAAGCCATATTTTCCACGCGAAGGCAACTTTTACTTTGTGTAGCGCGGCGCCATATCTGTGACCGTTACTTCTTTAAACTAAATTGCTTTAAACTGATTGGTTGATTTAATCATCACAATGTTTTCCCACCAATCAGATCAGTTGTTACAGATCTTAGCACTGTGATTACAGAAAATTGCACTGCTGTTTGGGATTAACTGCACTGAAATCAACCAATCACAGTCGAGTAATATTTTTATGTATATTATTAGACAGGTTAACATGAATTTATTTCGTCGGCTCAGATTGTATAGACGTGTAGATAGAGATATTTTTATGTGGATGATATCAGAATATTTCTGCACTTTTAGGGGGTTTGCTTCACAAGTTGTGGAAGTGTGGTACCGTCATCATCTCAGAAATAGCTTAAACATTTAATATTGCTTTCTGGCGCTTCTTTGAATAGTTGGCATGCAACTTCAATCACGTCCCAAGCTTATTTACATGTATATGTTTTAAAAAGTTGAATATCTCTAGGAAAACGTTCAGATAAATTCGTTAGTGAACCTGAAGATAAATTGAATGTTGGATAGTATTTGATTGTTTTTGGCAATGTGTATTTCACAATGAGAGCGTTAGACACACCTTTTGTCCTTTGCCTTCAAGTCTTCTACCAATTGACCATTTGCGTAATAGACAAAATTTTGATCTAAACAAGTCTAGACAAAAATTTCATCACAGCTTGAAAGAGCATCACAAAATTAGTAATATTCCAAAGTTTCGTTGCGAAATGTTGTAAAATGCGGATAATATAGCCTTGCGAAGTTTGTAAATTTCAGTCGTTTT